TAAAATTAGGGTAACATTTAAATTCAGCTGTTTTTCAGTCATGGTATTTTAATTCATCTGGTTTAGGAGCCCTAAGTGCATTCAGAATGCTAAGCAGTGTCTTACAATTTCTTCACCCCTTTAGGATTTCAGTTCTTTGCAATATTTATTCTCTCTTTTTTTTGGACTGGTAATCATCTCTGACAAAATACTTGAGCAATCTGTTTCACACTCTGTCAGCAGTTAACATAAATGTCTATCCCAGTTAGGAGGCCTTCTTTCCCTGAATACAATTTTAAAAGCCCCTTTTTGTTGTCCTTGACATTTTTGCAAGTCTCAGCTCATTCTGAGTTTTAATCTCCTGATTCTTCTTAGCAAATTATGCCATTGTTCTGTTTGTCCTTGATTATGTCATCCCACCTTTTACATTTGTCCAGTTAAAATGAATTCATCAGAGTACTGCCTAGCCAATTTTTTTGTTGTTTGTTTCTTTGAATATTACTGCTTTTTTTTTAAAGACAGGGTTTTATATAGTAGTCCAGGCTGGCCTCAAACTGGCAATCCTCCTGCCTTAGCCTCTTAAATGCTGGGATTACAGGTGTGTACCTCTACAGCTGGCTCACTTCTTTCTTATTCTGACCATTTTCATTACCTCAATAGAACTTCTTGAGATCTTTTCTTTTTCTTTTTTTTTTTTTTAAACTATTACGCAGATGCCATTTATTTGGTCCATAGTACATTATATTTGTTAATTTGAGTTTTGCAAAACATCAAATATAACCTGAAATTGTAACAATACACAAAAATTGGCTTCTTACACAGACATATCAGGCAGTAAAAACTGAAAATCTGAGTAAATTAACATTGTTTTACATTAATATACATAGTGCCGTTTAACATTTAAAAACAATGCATAGCACTTGATATTTCTTTGAATCTGTTTCAGTTAAGAGTATGAAAATGGTTAGATCTAAGCTAAAAATAATTCTTCTAGCCAAAAATAAAGGCATAATATTTATAACCAGGTATCAACTTTACTAAACCACAATATTTTAAAACTATTAAATGATACATAAGGGTATTTACATTAAAAAGGCAACATGCATTGTGTTGTTTTATCTCGTAACTGGTTATGCACACAGTTTGTTCAAAGGGTTTAAAAACTATATTTCTACTTTCAATACAGCATACTGCAATGTTTCTAATAGTTCTAGCAAAATGAATGCTTTCAAAGGGAGCAGAATCACTTTCAAGGCACTGGTGTCAGTTTTCCCTTTGGAACAAAGGATATAACAAATGATCTGGTTGTGTCCAGTTGAGCTGACAGAGTAAGGGTTTTTGTTCAGTCTCATGTTATGACATCATCAAGCTCTTCCCTCTGTTCCATACAAGACCTCTTTGCACTGATACTCTCTTTCTCATCTAATTTCCTCTTGCGATTTCTCTCATCTTCATTATTGTCAGCATTATTTGAAGGACCTTCTTCTGAGTCAACTGTGAGCACATCATCTTGCTCTTGTGCTGTGGAGGTGGAAGGCTGGGCTCCATCATCGCTGCCATTGGTTATGTTTTTGGTGGCATCTTCGGCTTGTTTGGGTCCTACTTTATCTAGGGCATCACCCACAACTTCGAATTCAACATCCTTCCCTAGGTCTTCACTATGAAGGATGTTGATCAATAAAGTGTAGTCCTGAAGGAAATCATCTGCTTGATGTCGGCTGCCATTTCTAATTCCAAATTCTGACAACTTCTTAGGATTATTAGCTTCTGTCCCTCCTTCTTCTGAAGATTTTAGGATTGTTCCTTTCCCATCTTCAATTTGAACATCTGGTGCAACCATAGCAAATTTCTCTTTCACTATCTTATCTTGTAAGGTGAGAATGGTCACTTTGTGGACATTCAGCCATACAGTCACCTCTGGCTTGCTGGCACATACATAACAATTGAGTTGGGAAGATCCAGTGCACAAGGCACAAGAAGCTCCTTTCTCGGGTTTGGTTGCTTATTCAAAAAAATTGTTCTACATTGATCTATTTTTCCTGATAAAATCTTTAATCCTTCCAATACTGTCAACCCACCAATCACTGCATTAGTAGTAGCAATAGCAGGAATAATGTTCCCTGCCATTGATTTTACATTGAATCTGCTCTTCATATTCATACTGAAAATATGCATCCTGAGGTTTGCTGCAGAGGTGACAAAATCTATCGCAGATAGGTCATCCTTATCCCATATGAGCTCACCTCCATCCCCTTTTTCAGCTAAATGAACTCGCAAAGTCTCAATGCTCTTTGTTGTTGTTTTTGTTTTTTTGGTACTGAGGACCAAACTCAGGACCTTGGGTTTGCAAGGCAGACGCAGTGCCACTGAGCTAAATCCCCAGCCCTTCTCAATGCTCTTTGAAAAAAGACGTGCATAACTCTTCACATCTAGAACCTGCTGGTCTTTCAGACCTAACGGGTTCATTTTGTTGATCTGATGCATTGGTTTCTTCTCCTTGATTTTGTACTTCAGCCCAGTCCAGTGGAACTGGCCAGTTTGTCCATTGTCAATAGATACCTGATATCATCTTTAAAAAGCTTAGTAAAAAGTTTAACTGGGGCCGGGGATTTAGCTCAGTGGTTTCGCAGCCTGCTGCGCAAGCACAAGGACCCAAGTTCGATCCCCAGTACCAAAAAAAAAAAAGTTTAACTGGAAAATATCCAGTTGATTTAGCTCATTCCTTTGTGGAAATAACGTTTGATGTCACCATCTTCATTAGATGCTCAAGCTCTGGACTCAGCTTATGTTTGTTCCCAGGGAGCTTTAGGGTCAGCTCTGTCAGGGGATACTTCTTGATCAGCATCTTCTTCCCCAAACAACTGATTGAACAAATATTTTGCCCACACAGTGCAATGAATGGGTTCTGAAGGTGTATTACGAATTGTACAGCCAGGAAAAGTTCTCTGGCTTGGCTTAGGGTGACATAACACTCAGTCACACCCTTTTTGATAGTAGTTAGTTGTCCAAGATAACCAGCAGTCCCACTCTCAATAAGAGGGACATCAGCTGCCAGACACATCCTGTTAACATGGTTTCAGGCAGCTCTATTTAATGAATTCATAACTAATATAAACTGTCAAAAATTCCATGTTGTAGTCAGGGTTGTGCCTTTGATCTTCCAACATGTTTCTTTTTTTTTTTTTTTTGATACCAGGGATCGAACTTGGGTCCTTGCGCTTGTGCACCAACATGTTTCTTTTGAAACAAAAACTGCCTGTTGAGGTTGCTGACATCAGTAGTATCCAGATCAATCAGGTTGATGTGGGAGAAGCCAGTGAGCACGAGGTTCTTCAGGAGCTCGCAGCCAATGCCCACAACCAGCACCTGGCCCCCGGCCACAGCCTTAGCCAGCTCCTGGGGCAGCCCCTGGGACAGTGCCATGGCAGGACTTCCATGAGCAGCAGCGGAGGCAGAGCTCTTGAGATCTTTTCAACATTAAGTTACTTTGCTTCAGAGTGTTGAGTATGTGGTCTTACTAGTCTCTGTATTCCCTGTCTGTGCTGATATTCCAAATGTATGTCAGTTTTCTCCAAAGACTCTTGTTCTTTCTGTTTTACTGACCAGTTCCCTTCTTGAGCATGAGAACTAGATCTAGAATAACATGCTGGTTGTCCTTCTATGGAAATGCTTTGGCAAATTGATGACTCATGATTTAAAAAGGGATTTGAGGACAAAGTAGTTCAGAACTATCATGGATTAAGTAATATATATAAAATCTAGCAAAATTAGATGTAAAATTGTGGGCTAGGTAACTTATAGGGCACAGTGGTATGTTAAATATGGATGTTTTGGGGGATATAAGGAAAATTTAAGAATGACTATATTTCTATGAAACCGGATAAATACAACTCATCAGATTTTCTTCTACTTCATTGTTCTGACTAGAAAACCGAAGGACCTGGCTGGTTGTATTCTGGTGATTACTTTCTAACTGTCCCCACTTTTATTGGTGTCAACATGGTGGCCATGTCGTTTCTCCTTGTAAAAGGAGTAGTTTCTCTCTCTCAGCTATAACAGTAATGTAGTTTGGTAAAACGAGAAAGACACTTTTTGTCTTTTTTTTTTTTTCTTGAGACAGGGTCTCTTCAGCCCTGCCTGGCCTCAAAGGCTAGGCAATCCTCCTACCTGAGTGCTGGGATCACAGGCATGTGCTACCATATCCAGCAAGACACTTTTTTTTTTTTTTTGGTACTGGGGATCGAACTTGGGACCTTGTGCTTGCGAGGCAGGCACCGGAACCACTGAACTAAATCCCCAGTCCCGCAAGACACATTTTAATAAATCACTTTTCAATAAATCATTTTTCTTTGTCTTTTGTAGTGCCTCATGCAAGATATGCAAATGCTCTACCACTGAGCTAAACCACCAGCCCAACTTTCATATTTCAAATTATAAAGTGGAAATACAGGGCCGGGGATTTAGCTCAGTGGTTTCGCCACCTGCTGTGCAAGTGCAGGGACCCGAGTTCGATCCTCAGTACCATTAAAAAAAAAAAAAAAGTGGAAATACAGAAATATTAAATAAGCCTGGCGTGGTGGCACACACCTGTTATCTCAGCACTCAGGAGGCTGAGACAAGAGGATTGCTGCAAGTTCAAGGCCAGCCTGAACTACATGGCAAGACCCTGTCTCAAAAAACCAAAAGAAAAGAAAAGAAATATTAAATAGTGCTTATTTTGTTTTTTTGTTTTGTTCTTGCCAAGATGATTCTTTACTATGAGGTCATTTTTTTTCTTTGTTTGTGTGTGTGTGATGGTACTGGGGATGGAACCCAGAGGTACTCTTACCATTGAGCTACATATCCCACCCTTTCTTTTTTTATTTTTTATTTTCAAACAGGGTCTCACTAAATTACCCAGCCTGGCTTAAATTTGCAATGCTCCTGACTAAAGCCTGTCAAGTAGCTAGGATTACAGGCATGTGCCATCACACCTGGCATCATTTCCTTTTTAAAAATTGTCTTTGTGTGTTTCTTTGTAGTTGGTCTCTTCCCATGATGATGTCCATTTGCCATCGTGGCACTGGTGTGGCCTTGAGTGGAGGTATGTATATTTTTATATACACACACATGTGCACATGCACAACACACACACTTCTTGGAAGAACTGCTGTCTCTGTGGCTTTTGTCACTGCCCTCTTGGGAGTTCAGCAGCTTGATGTAGAGAGAATGATGAGTCTTTTTAAACTTCTTCATTCCTTTAACAACTAATTATGAGTTTCCATTATCCTCACATTCTTTTCTTAGCAGATTTTAAACTCATTTCCTATTTTCTGATGTTACATTTATTAAAATGACAGAGCAGAGATTGAAAGGTAATAGAGATGGGCAAGCTGAGTGCTAGTTGATGAAACATAGTCCAAGATCAGTCATCAGCCTACTGAGATTCTTTTAGAACCTCAGTTTTAGCATCCATTCTTTGTCATCTGGAATTATCACGGTCCAGAACACTAACTCACTATCTAATCTTACAAAGTCTTGTCCTACAGACTACAGTATCTATTTATTCACTCATATAATATGAAATATAGCTGCAGAGTGAATTGTATACTATTCTTAGATAGTACATCCTTTTTAGGTAGGAAGGTTTATTATATGGAGTGCATATTAAAATCAGTTTCTGAGATCTGATGTATCTTTTCACAGGAATATACAAGAGAATCAATAGATTGCTTAAGTCTCTCTTTTTTTTTTTTTTTTTTTTTTGGTGCTGGGGATTGAACACAGGACCTTCTGCTTTCGAGACAGGCGGTGGAACCACTGAGCTAAATCCCCAGCCCCCAATTTTTTTTGTTTGTTTTTTTTTTGGTACCAGGATCGAACTCCAGTCCTTGCGCTTGCGCAGCAGGCAGCGAAAACACTGAGCTAAATCCCCGGCCCAAGTTTCTTTGATTAGTGCTGGAGACATAAATATGTATTTTGCTTTTTTAGTTTTCTATTTTCTAGATTATAGTGAGTATTACACCCTCACCAAAAACAAAAAGTAGATTAGGTTCTCTTAAATACATACTCTAAAAGCATTCTGGCTTTCTCTGTCCTAATACTCAGAGTTGTAATTTACTTGCTCATTATCATTCTTTCTTACTAGGTTGTATGTGTTCTGTGAGGGCTTAGACTACATCTGTCTGCATTTTTATCAACCTAGCATGATGCCTGAAATGCAGTAGATATTCAGTAAATACTTGCAAAATGAATACTAGTCTCCTCTCCTATTAATATATGTTTTCACATGTTTTTCTTCCTAAATTTTTTGTGGTGCTGTGGATCAGACCCAGGGCCTTGCACATATTAGACAAGTGCTCTAACATACTGAGCTACACCCCTAGCCATGTTTTCTAAATTTCTGCCCAATATATAATCAGATTTTCAGGTTCTGGAGGTAGCTTATGTTACTTCCCTCCGTGCTGACCTTTAATAGCTATGTTACTAATTTCTGTAGTAGTGAACACATCCATATAATGGGAAGGAGATGCACCCAACTCCATGGGGACAGAAGCTCCTGGACTTGGAACCCTTCTAACCCTTGCATATGTACCTTTTCATCTGTTACAGTATTATTTATAATCTAGTAAACATTTTTTAAAAACTACTTAACTGTATTGTATTCCAACACTAGTATTTCCACATTCTGTGATTGCTACTTTAGCTGAGATCTGCTTGATTCAGAGGGAGCAACAATAGGTTATCAGGCATTAGAGTATCGCATAGGTAAATCTTTTTTTTTTTTTTAGGTAAATCTTGAGTTTGTTCTCTGTCTCCTTGAAACATCCAGGGAACAGTCCTTTTCTTAACCAAGGTGATTCAGCTCTTACATATCTACAGAAGAGCAAATGCAAACCAAGAGTGGTGGAGTGCTTTTTAAAAGAAATACCTGGATGAGCTGTTAGCACATGTTCAACAAGCCTTCTGTTCTGAGCTGCCAGTCCTAGGCCCTTTGCTGGCAAAGGAAAATGGCCTTATGCTGGAATGGCATATAAATCTTCCATGTATACTGTCCTGTGGTTGGTTCCCTGGTATGGCTTTAAGCTCATCCTAGGGAATATGAAGGAAATAATCTTGCCTAGACTCTGTATGAAGTCATATACCTGAGAGACAGAAGCCCCACTGCTTTATGTTATGAAAACTCCAAGTCTCTCTGTCTCTTCTCTTGATACTGTAGACTGAGAGCAAAGCCCAAGTTTTATTCATCACATCAGGCATCATTACTAGCTTTAGAGGAGGTGGCCTGCTTGTCCAATATAGAGCAAATGGCAGCCTTTGGGTCCTAGCATGTAATGTGATCTTGCTTCAGAAGTTTGGTGCCAGCAGAGCTGTCAGGGAATTTGCTTTGGTGAAGTGATGGTAGAAAGAAGGAAAAGTACTCTTTCTGTTTTTCATAATATCCTTAATGGCCCCTTCTATGCTTCTGTAAACTGTTTTTATTGAAGTGCTTATCAGCAGGGCTAGTGCCTCTAGGGTAGGGATCCTGTGTTTAGGGACCTGCTGCTGAGGCATTAATAGGAATTATCTTAAGCTACGTCTCTGCTCTTCATAATACAGTATGCATATATATATGGCTACTATATTTATATGTACACACATCTATATGTACATATAGTACAGAGAGAGAGATAGTATTGCTCATAAGTGAGGATAGGAAGTCCTATCTAAGAGCTGTCATTCCTTTGGTTGGTAAAGGGATGGTAGAAGTCAGGTATAATGATGACTGTTATAAAATTTAAAAAAGAAAAAGATGATTGATGTGGCCTGGGAATCCATGTGTGGTTCCTGTTTTTTAACCTGCTTGCACTGAACTGATAGAGCAAGTTTCAGTATTCAGTTCCTAATTACTGTCAGGTGTGGTGGTGCACACCTGTAATCCCAACATTGGGGAAGCTGAGGCAGGAAGATCACCAGAAGTTCAAGGCCAGCCTGAGCTTCATAGTGAGTTCAAAGCTAGCCTGAATAAACTATGTGGCGTGACCCTGTCTTAAAAAATAAAACAAAATAAATGATTGATGTGGCCTGGGAATGTGTGCAAAGTGATATTTTTGTTTTTGTGGCACTCTTATCCAATTTTTACACAATGACAAGAAAAACCTTTTGAAAGAAATGGAATCATGTTACTGCTTTGCTTAACATCTTTCAATGACTGTGTTTCCCTTTGCGCTTAGATTAAAATTCAGATCTCTGAGCTGAGTGTAGTGGCTCATGCCTATAAACCCAGCACTCAGGAAGCTGAGGCAGGAAGATGGCCAGGAGTTTGAGACCAGCCTAAACTGTATATTGAAACCCTGACTCAACAAGACAAGACAAAACAAAACATTCAAATCTTCAACACAGCCTTTCCCCTGCCATATCCGGCCTTTTCTTCCATCCCTCACCTTGCTTACTATATGTCAGGCATATTGATCTTTAAGCACATTGATCTTTGAATTCTTGCAACAGGCAAAACTCTTTCCCATTGCAGAGCCATTGAATGTTTTGTTGCTTTGGTTTGGAATGCCTTGCTGCAGTGTGCATGGTTAGTTCTGTTTGTCCTAGAGTACTTTGCTTACCATCATATCTAAACTGGATTTGTTATTTTGTAATTTCTTGTGAATTTTCTGTTTTACAGCACTAGTCCTTCATAGTTCTTATTGTACCGGTTGTTTCTTTCATAGCTCTTATTATACAGTTGGTAATTGTATTGTTTGCTAACTTATAAGTCTATGTCATTAGACTGTACACTCTCCAGTCTAGGTACTACATCTATCTTATTTACTATTCATGTCCTCTAGCACTCACTAGGTGCTTAGTAAATCTTTAGTTACTGAATGAATACTTGTGTGAGTTACTTTCTTCATAGTGGTCACATCACATTCTTTTTACCCTTTTTTTTCCAGTCCTGGGAATTAAACCTAGGGCCTTCATCCTGAGCTACATGGCCCCCTGAGGAGCCATCCTGTAAACCAACCTAGGGGGTACAAAGAGGAATAAAGAGACAAAGGCAAATTTCTGAGCAAGGGGGACCAGGAGACTTCTGTCTCAGAAGGACTAGAGCATAAGGAGTCTGGAAAGTCTAGTTTTTATTAGTTGAACAAGGCAATGTAGCAGACATGCAATTGAAGAAACAAAGAACTGTAAATGATTAACAAGGGACATAACAACCCCATACCCAGATATGTAATTTTCTTTGTTAAGCCCTTGGCTGATGTTCTGCCCTTGGGTACTGCAGGCATCAGCATCCCTGTGCACAAACAAGGGAGGGGGCAGCCTTTTACCCCCTCTCCTGTCCCTGGGAGAGGTCAACAAGGCCTTGGTATCTGCAGCTAAACCTGGTCTCCCTCACTTCCCTACCCCTTTTTTTAAACAAGGTCTCTCACTAAGTTGCTATATTGCTCAGGCTGGGCCTGAACTTGCAGTCCTCCTGCCTTAGCTTTCCAGTGTACTGGGATCACAGGTGTGTGCCACCATGCTTGGCTTCTTCTTGCCTTCTAATTAATCTCCTGTTATGCATTAGAAACTAGATAGGGGGCAAGGGATGTAGCTCAGCAGCGCTGTGCCTGCCTGGTAAGTGCAAGGTCCTGAGTTCAATTCCCGGTACCGGGGAAAAAAAAAGAAACTAGATAGGGATAATGTATAATCTCTGCCTTCAGGGTAGTGGAGTGAAAGGAGTAAAATAAATATTTATAATGTACTGTGATAATGTTTTAATGAGAGATGTGGAGATGCAGAGGAAAGACCAGCAAGTACTTCGAAGGAGTTGGATGGCTTGAAATAAGGTTGAATAGAAGAGTTTGTGGAGAAGAGGTAAAGGGGGGAGATTCTAACAGAGACATTTCCTTATGCTGAGGCGTAGGAACTGGAAAGCACCTGGAGTCATTGGATAATGATGATGTCTGGTTGCTTGAAACTGATGTTAATAGAAGTGACAGAAGATAAGGCTGGAACGTGGGCCAGACAGGGAAGAACTTTGACTGCTGTGTTGTTGAGGAGTTGAAACTTGATCCTGTAGACTATGGAAGGCCGAAACTTCCTATTCTCTTCCTTTGATCTACTAACGGGACAGACTGGCCCAGACAG